AATCAGAGGCTATCACAGCAATCAGGTGACCTGGAACTGGGAGTCCTGGGTCCCAATCATTAGTACGAGACCCAAAGCATGCTCCCAGCACAGATATGCACATATGTGGCCCCATGGAAAAATACCCACTTATGTGAGGCCGCATATATGTGTACGGTCAGCGGGAAAGGGGTTAAAATGGCTTTTGGGCCAGAATTTCCTAAAATGCCTGTAAACTAATGGGTGGAGTTGGTTTTCCCCAAAATAGCATCTAGCTAGGCTGAAGCTGTGCGCCCTGGCTTCAGTGAGGTAAGTGATCTGATGGTGAAGTCTCCCAGATGATGCAATCTCTAGGTGATGAGTGTTCTTCAGATGATGTGATGGTGTGATCTTGATGGTGTGTGCACTTTTTTTTTGTCACCTGACTTCTATTGAGCTATTTGATTGAGTGGCAGAAAATACATACATAATAAAAACCAGGCCCAGAAGGTGTAATCTTCTCTATGATTGGTGGGGAAATCTAATTATCAACCCCATGTTTGCATACATATTAACTCACTTAGCCACCAGATGGCACCATAGGACCAGAAATGAGCACTTCAGTTTTCCAGTGGAAATTCATCTTATAACAAAATCTGTTATATGACAAATTAATATTTTTTTACTATAACAAAGTGGCCTATGTGATTCTACCTAAACTATATAGCATGCCTAGGAAAGTCTGGTGATTTCTAATCTATGATCATTACTCTTTTAGTGTAGTGGTATTCAAATGTAAACTAACTACAGAGATAGCATGATTTCATAATTAAATATTAATAATATACATCAAATCCCCACACTATAAACTATTATTTGAATATGGCAATGATGTAACACAATCACATATAGTCCTAAGTAGACATGTGCGGTTCGTTTTGTTTTCAAAAGAATTTTGGACAATTTTTTTTGTTATTCAGAGATTCAGATGTATCAGAATTACGAATTACAAAAATGACGAATTTAAACAAATCTGAAATAAAGAAACAAAATTCGGCCAACATTAAATTTGAGAAACAAATTTTAATTTGAAAACAAAATCCAAAACAAATTTGAATTCGAAAACAAAATCAAGTAAACATTCAAAAAAAACATTCAAAACAAATTTAAAGTAAAGCTCCACCCAAAAGGGGAAGTTTCACTTTAAGGACTCCTGGTTAAGGATCGTTACCTTTGGGGATGCGTACCCGAAATTGACAGGTACCTGCTCCCACTTCTGCTGCGATCACCTAAGGCGATCAGAAGCAGAAATTGTCCTCCCAACTCCCTCCCCAAAAGTCTTCTGGGACACATGACAAGTCCATTCACAAAGTGCAGTGCTACACATGCATGCGCAGTGGGCAACCAGCTGTGAAGCCGCAAGCTGTCACAGCCGGGTGCCCACACGGAAGTTACCAGCTCTGGGAATACAGGGCGGTCAGTGAAATGGGTTGCTGGGGGGACACCGCGTAATGTTTTTGAATTGAATTCGTACACAAATTACCGAAACAAATCCCAAAAAACGAATTTACTGAATCCAACTACACAAAATGTGTTAGATTTAGAATCAAAACTAAACAAAACACTTTTTTTCATTTTGCACATGTCTATTCCTAACAATATTGATTACAATTAAACAAACATATGATTAATAATAAACAGACATATTAATAACCCTTTTCCTGGCACTGGGCTACTTTTAAAGGATAAAATCCCAACAACATAGATACATTACAATATTGTGTTACCATCTAAAGTCCTATATTTATAAATATGTCCATGATAATTATAGTTTTTGTCCGGAAAAAGGGTCTGTACCCTATGATCTACCATATATTCAGTCTATTAAACTGAATAATTTGAAAATATAGACAATTCCAAAACTCATCTGCGTAAACTTCACACACAGCTCACTTAAATGAGAGAAATCTGTCTCTTGTTTATCTTTCCTAAAGGTGAGACAGGCAGGTTTATCTTTCCCAAAGGTAAGACAAACAGCTGACTAGGCAAGGTCACATTGTCCTGGGTCAATAAAAAAAAAGTGACATATATATTGTTTTTCTGATCCCTGTTTACATTTGTTCAAGGTTTGTCCATTTTTAAAACACTTCTCCTTTGTCTCTCCTTTGGCAGTTTTTTCTCCTTGCACTGGCTAAATGTTAATAGCACCATGTTTTTGGTCTGGTCAGAAAACTCATCTAGTCCAAAACTAAAATTATCAAATACTGTATATATATATTTTTTTTCATAAAAGTTCAAAACAGTGTTGGCAACAGCAGGAAGAGCAGCAGCCAGAAATGCATGCAAAAACACAAGCTGTCAGTTTTTAGATGGATCCCTTGTATAAACCCCCAGAACATGCATCAAGCACAACCCATGTGTCCAAGCTTTGCTATCTCACCTTCTGGCCCTGAACCCACATGGTGAATGTCACTTGGGTAAAGGTCTTCCACCAGTGATGATAAGAACCCAGAAGAGATGGGTATTGCATCATAGTCTGTGCTCTATTAGTTTCAGTTTGCAGCTTTAGAATCCAGGGGAGATTGCTATGGCAAGTAAACAAAAAAATTTAAAGCATACCCATGCACTTAAACCCCCCAAAAAAAGGGTCCCCAACTCCCCATGCACATACATACATAAATGTCAGGATGCCTACACACAAAAAAATGTTGATTATGAAACACTTGTTACTTATTGCTGCACCAAGTGGAGTGGGAGCAATAATGCTAGGAGAATTATTCATAGTTAGGGTCGTCTTTGGGAACATATTACATGTTCCACCCGCTTTTAGGATGGAACGTGTAACTTGTTCCCAATCCTGCAACCACAGCCCGATACCACCCCCCCCTTCTCTATGACAGCAGTGCGGGAAGACGTTCACACAGCTGTGTCATTCATTCACAGCCTTCTGTGAATGTAAGGACTACATGTCCCAGCAGCCTTGGCAGCTGTCAACTTTTAGTTCTCAATGCACTAACATGGCGCTGTGGAGTGCTGTGGTAGTCCATTGAGTCTTCCTGTCAGCAGTTTCAGGAGTTCGGTAGTAAACAGGTTTAAACTGTTTGCTTTTCAAGGATCACCTTTAAGTACTGTCCTAAAATATAGGTCTTACTTAGAATATGAAATATTTGACTAACCATGTCACCAGAGGTGAGTAAAAGTATATTAGTCAGTCCTTTGCATTCTGCACCTTGTCCAGATCAAGGGAGACACAATCCATTGAGCATAAAATCCATTTAATTTGCATGGGCTTTTGAAGTATCTGCCAAATAATAACAGACACATGAGCTGGTATCAACATTACAGGGGACACATGCACTCACATCTCTTTTTTTGGTAGGTATATTATCCCATACATCTGATGTGCCAGATTGGTATCTTTCAAAGAAGTAGTTCATGCTTATTTTGTTATAAATTAAAAGCTCAGAACAAGATAAAATGGTGGATCCAAACTCTGTGTAAACAGAATCAAAGGTGTATTTTTTTTTGTTTATAGAGTATTTTTGTAATACAAATACTTCATATTTTATGACATGATTTGATAGTGTATGTATGCATAATAATACAGGTTTTTATTCTACCCAGTGAAAGGAATCTAAAGATGTCCTCCTTGTCTCATCTTTTCTTGGATAGGATGAGCTTGTCAAACTCATCTCTGAGAAAAATGTATCACAGCAGCAAATAAAATGATTTAGAACTCTTGTACGGGAGGCTATCAGGAGGGTAGATAAAGTAAGATTGCAAATACACATAACAATCTCGTAACCTCCTAACATTTATTTAGTTTGTAGGATATCAAGACTTGTGACCTTCTCCTACCAAGGTTGGTGCAACGTCTGAGCAAAGATTATTTGTAGTTGTTCTCAGCAACTATAAAGCATGTTAACCAAGTAACATTTTTATCTTCAAACAAGCAATCACACTTCCTGCTAAAACTTTTCCAAGGACTGCTTGTCAAATATCTTTTTCAGAGATAAAAAGAAATAATAAAGTTGTGAGACAAGACATCAGAGGCAGTTTATGATGGGAGTAGCAATATTTAATCACTTGCAGAGTTTCCACGGAGATTACTTTGGGATGCTAGTTTCACAAGCCGAAAGGGGGAAAGAGATATCTGATGAAATTGCAAACACACAAAATTGCTGCCAACTGAGGTCTTCATGTAAGAAATGATTACAAAACATAAGCTATTTTTTATGCTGCTTTGATTGGTTACCTTATGTCTGTGTATGTATGCTACTTGAAATGCTTCCTCCAAGTATTTCTTTTTTTTACAGCACTGAAAACAAAGACAAACTACATGTTACTGAAAGTGAAAAAAGGAGCTACTTATCAAATGAAAATGCCATTTGCTACATGTTTCCAATTGTTGTGGGAATATAGATACTGTATGTAGCCTGGAAAAGTGATATTAAAACATATTATAAAATATTGTTATTAATCAATTGATTTTAGTTGAAAGCCATTTGGGAACCTTATGCACAATGATTTAACACAAGATTAAAAAGGAGCTCCAGTCCCCTGTGTAAAACAGCCATTCACCTGTCCCACAATCCCATGGTGTATTCACAACAGCCATTTTCATCTCCTGTCGTATGCCCCTGGGGATGGCATGTTAACTGTGGACACCTGGCTGTGACAGCTTGCAGCTTCACAGCCAGGTTCCCACTGTGCATGTACAAGCCGTGCTGCACATTGTGAATGGTCCCACAGTCTTCTGGGATCTCTTACATGTCCCAGAAGACTGAAGAAAGGGGGGGAACTTCCACTTCTGATCGCCTAGGTGGTCAGAGCAGAAGTGGGATCAGATACCTGTCAAAATCAGTTATCCACTCTCCCACCCCGATCTCTAGGAGTGGGGGAAGAAACCTTATAGTGGAACTTCCCCTTTTGAGTGGATCTCAGCTTAAAAGATCTTTGTTTCTGGCCATGTAGTCTTTATCCTGGTGTGTTAGTTTGTAAATTAAGCTTGCTGAGTGCTATAATAGCACAAAATATAATACCATTCATACCTTTTTACTACAATGTGTAGTTGATGAACAGCTTTTTTATGTGCAAGATGTTTTTTGTGTAAAATGTTCTCTTGATGATAATAAGAACCAGGGGCAGACTGACAACTCATGGGGCCCCCAGGCAATAGGGATCATGGGGCCCCCTCCTGAAACCGGGCCCTCGGGCTGTGCCTGAGTTACCAAAAGGTCAGTCCGCCCCTGTTAAGAACATTATATTATTTTACAACTACACAGCAATCTTCTCTAGTAGGAGGAATGCTGAACCCATAATTCATTCTCCAAAATAATTCTTAACTTTGCACGTTGATACTTTTGGGAAGCTCTTATTGTACCGTTTTTAATGTATATACTTACAATGTATTATTAATTTACTAGGTAGCCACTAAGCAAATATATATATATATATATATACAGCAGTTTTACTTCAAACAAAAGTTCATGTACATTGCAATCCATATGGCATATAGCGGCTGTACAGTTTTAAGCATCCCTGCTTTTCATCAAGCTTCATCAAGAGCAGGAATGATTGAAACTGTGCAGCAGCTATATGCCATATGGATTGTAATGTACTGTACACAAATTCTTGAAGTAAAAACTGTTGCATACTGGAGTATGTATCCTCAACTTATTTGATATTTATATTGGTGGATATATGGGAACCCACCATTGATACAATCTCCTTATTGCTTTTCGAACTTGGATTTAAATTTACAAGAGAGGGACTCACCCCTCGTTTATATATATACTGTGTGTGTGTGTGTATATATATATACAGAGGTTGGACTAGCTTATGGAAACACCAGGTAAAAGAACAAAATCATTACATAATATGGCGTTGAACTGCTCTTGGCATCTAAGACGGCCTGAATTCTCCTGTGAACTGACAAATATAAGTCTTGGATGGTAGATCTGATATCACCCTTAATGCAAAAATTGTTCCAGTCCTCACAGAGATACTGGAGGTGGAAAATGAGTCTGAACCTTGTTCTCCAAAATTGACTATACTGGCTCTATAATAGTGAGGTCCGGAGACTGCATTGCTGTCTTTGGGAAACAACAATGTCTGCACCGTGGGGTGCACATGGTTGGCCAAAGTGATGATGGGGCCTGCTTAATACCAAGATGTGGCTGCCCAAACCATGGTTGCGCCACCACCATGCTTTATTGTTGACACAAGACAGTCCTGGTCATAAGCTTGGGGGTTTGCCACACATAAGCACGTCCGGTGGTTGGGAACAAAGTGAAGCTCAATTCATCGGTCCATATTAAAATCTACCATTGATCGATAGTCCGCGATTTATTGGTGTTGCACCACTCTCTCCTCCTCTGACCATTAATATCGGTCACCAGTGGTTTGGCAATTGCAGCCACACCTGTGAATGTTTTGCCCTTGGAGTTTCTTCAGTACAGTTTTTGTGGACTCATTGTTTGGAAGACTGAGACTGAGCTCTGCAATCACTTTTGTAGCAGTTGTTTTCCTATTCCGGGTAACAATCCTGTGCAATGTCCTTTCGTTTATTTTGGTCAGTTGACCATGTCGACTGTACTTATGCTTATCAGATGATGTTTTCCCAGAAACTGTATATGCTGTCATAACCTTGATACTGTACCTCAAACACCACAAATAAGTTGGCAGCTTCAGTCACAGAGACACTAGTTAAGCAGGTACCAACAATTTGCCCTCTTTGAAATTCATTAAGCTCTGACATGACTCCGTATTACTAGCAGCGCACGCAGTGAATGACAAAAGTGAGGCTTCCCACCTGTTACCTAGGTGTCTAATCACACAGAGGAAACAAAAGAATGTTATATTATTTCCACTTTCAATGCAAAACATGTAGTCACTTTCACACCTGCAAATCATGTATTTTTGGCCAATCCTTGACAGAGTCGTACCCTGAGCTGTGCATGTACGATTCCGTGTACATTAATTTTAACAAGTGGGGAGATGTACTTATGATAGAAGAGATTGATAAGGTCTTTTTTGTCATAAAAATCCTACCTGTCAGTGTTTTTTCCATAGTTTAATTCCACTTTAATATTATTGTTTTCAAGAAAGAACTTCCCAAATCTGCTTTCTAAATCAAGCATCAATGACTAACATCCCTGCAAGAAGCAATTTCTTTTTTGCAGTGTTAAATTTTTAAAGAATGATGCAAACAAGAAAATCAAGAAAGATTATGAAGCGCAAAAACAAAAACAAAACTGCTGATTACATTTGCAGCATTCAGGCTTTCCAGTGAACAGACCAATAAATTATAGCCCCTGAGTAGTATTTAGTTTCTAACTCCTCTGAGCACCCGGTTTTGCCACACTCTATCAATTTCTTGACAGCTTGCTATATTTTTATGCACTAAACACCTCGTTGTTGTGTTTTGGAATGTCACTGGTAAACCCAAGTCTATAAATCACAGCTGAAATCCCTTAAAACATTAGTAAATTATTAAAGGCATATTCATATTCAGTCCTAAAGAGGTTAACCACCTACAGCCCTCAAACACAGGTTCCATGTTTGTTTCATGTTCATGTTGATAAGTTTCCAAGAACTGTAAGACTGGAAAGGTTGAAAAATATTTCCCCATATTATAAATTACTTTCATTTGACAGGCTGCAGCATATCTGAATTAATGGATACCATATTCCTGTATATACATCAGATTTAGTATTTTAAAGAGGCACCCAGCTTTATGTATACTGTGGGGTAGAATCATAATTTGCTGTGATTTTTGTGTTCTTGTTAAAATCACTCTAAGGGTACACTAATATCAATATTTTATTGTAGATGTGAATATCAGTAACCCCTGTTAGGTTTTTATTCTTTTCCAATTGAGAGATTTTTCTAAAGATACTCTTGTAAAACAAACTGAATAAAATAAATAATAATAACATTGAAAAAAAAATTTTTTTTTTGAACATTAAAGCAGAAGATAAATCTGATTAGTAGAGATGTGCATGGAAAAATTAGTTTTGTTTTAGTTTCATTAATTTGGTAAATAATTTTGTTTTGCCATATTCCCTATGTTAGAAGGATTCATTTTCAGAAAGTTTTCTTTGTCTCGGGAGAGTATTATATTTGTTATGTTCTGTTCTGTTATTCTTTTGCTTTAAGCAAACATGTACCTGAATGAAAATGATTAATTCAGGTTTTTTTTATTGTGATTAGCTTTGATTGGCCATAGCCAATCATATGATACAGATGGGCTGTGATTTGCCCAGTCTGTACATGTGTTCACTGTGACCCATCACAGCTAGTGACACCATTGTATGCAATGGATGGGCATGAAAGGAAGCCATACATTGTTTTACAATTGTCATGTGACCTGCTAAAATTGGTCACTGTGGTCACATGGTACTGGCAACGGGCCTGTACATAAATCTGTCATTGACTAAGTCTAAGGTACACAGCTGGTGACAGATCTCACCACAGTGTGGCCCTGCGGGCACGTGCGAGCCGTAAGGTACGATCTGGGAGTACGTCATATGATGCCCACCTGGATTGATGAGAGTCCCGCTCAGCCATCATTTTGCTACTGGCCAGGCAGGAACAGGTTAAAAAATTGTATCTGCTGTTGAAGTTTTTGGTCAAGCTGTGAGGAATAATTGACCATACATTACATTTCCAAGACACTATTATGTCATCCAATCTATATTAATCCCCTCTTCAGCTTTCCTCATATTACACCAGTTCAGAATTTATATTAGTTCTCTCTCTTGAGAGAATTCTCATGAATTTACTTCCATAAAGTTGAAAGTGTATATATATACAGTCAGGTCCATAAATATTGGGACATTCGACACAATTCTAACATTTTTGGCTCTACACACCACCACAATGGATTTGAAATGAAATGAATAAGATGTGCTTTAACTGCAGATTGTCAGCTTTAATTTGAGGGTATTTACATCCAAATCAGGTGAACGGTGTAGGAATTACAACAGTTTGCATATGTGCCTCCCACTTGTTAAGGGACCAAAAGTAATGGGACAATTGGCTTCTCAGCTGTTCCATGGCCAGGTGTGTGTTATTCCCTCATAATCCCAATTACAATGTGCAGATAAAAGGTCCAGAGTTCATTTCAAGTGTGCTATTTGCATTTGGAATCTGTTGCTGTCAACTCTCAAGATGAGATCCAAAGAGCTGTCACTATCAGTGAAGCAAGCCATCATTAGGCTGAAAAAACAAAACAAAGCCATCACAAAGATAGCAAAAACATTAGGCGTGGCCAAAACAAATGTTTGGAACATTCTTAAAAAGAAGGAACGCACCGGTGAGCTCAGCAACACCAAAAGACCCGGAAGACCACGGAAAACAACTGTGGTGGATGACTGAAGAATTCTTTCCCTGGTGAAGAAAACACCCTTCACAACAGTTGGCCAGATCAAAAACACTCTCCAGGAGGTAGGTGTATGTGTGTCAAAGTCAACAATCAAGAGGACTTCACCAGAGTGAATACAGAGGGTTCACCACAAGATGTAAACCATTGGTGAGCCTCAAAAACAGGAAGGCCAGATTAGAGTTTGCCAAACGACATCCAAAAAAGCCTTCACAGTTCTGGAACAACATCCTATGGACAGATGAGACCAAGATCAACTTGTACCAGAGTGATGGGAAGAGAAGAATATGGAGAAGGAAAGGAACTGCTCATGATCCTAAGCATACCACCTCATCAGTGAAGCATGGTGGTGGTAGTGTCATGGCGTGGGCATGTATGGCTGCCAATGGAACTGGTCTCTTGTATTTATTGATGATGTGAGTGCTGACAAAAGCAGCAGGATGAATTCTGAAGTGTTTCGGGCAATATTATCTGCTCATATTCAGCCAAATGCTTCACAACTCATTGGATGCCGCTTCACAGTGCAGATGGACAATGACCCAAAGCATACTGCAAAAGTAACCAAAGAGTTTTTTAAGGGAAAGAAGTGGAATGTAATGCAATGGCCAAGTCAATCACCTGACCTGAATCCGATTGAGCATGCATTTCACTTGCTGAAGACAAAACTGAAGGGAAAATGCCCCAAGAACAAGCAGGAACTGAAG